TTCCCTCCACCCATCCACTGAGAAAGCAATCTGTTCCTGAGGTGAGGGCTGCATTGTCCACGCTTCACACAACGCTGCACACTCCTCTTGGAATTCAAAGTCTAATCACACTGTGAAGCCTGCCTACCTCTCATCTCTCCCTCACTCTTTCCAGCAGCAGTGTCACTGTGGGTGACTGGCAGCATGACCCTCCACTGCTGCTTCTATTTGTGAATAAATGCCTTCAGTGGTAGAAAAGAAACAGGACCGGTTAATCAGTGGGGAGTTGTTGGAATAGGGATGTATTTGAGGGAGAAGCCAAAGAAATTGAGATATTGAGAAGTGGGTAATAAGGCTCCAAACTGTATTCATTCCTTTCTACAGACTTTAGTAGATATTACCTCCAGTGCCACCTAAGTACTTTCTAGGTCAGTTTTAGTTTAGTTTTAGAAGTGATTCTGGATTTTGTGATTCCCATCTCAGAGGTTATTTCAAATGTCTACATCCAGCCTTCCTGTCTGCCTGATACGAGTGACTTAGAGAAACACACCAGACCCCACAAAATGACAAAAGCACACTTCACACTGAGTGCCTGCTCACTGATGAAAGAGCTGGAAGAAGTCAGGCACTTCAGCTTTTACTACAAGGCAACACAGTGAGTGTTCTCAAAGGAATTTAGATGTCAGCTTTCACCAGATTTCATATATTTTTCAAAATCTGTTCTTTGTCACTCTGCACATCAGCTCCCCATGGGGATAACAGCCGTTTCCCTGCCTCACAGCTGTGCTAAGCAGAGATGTACCTGCTGACATCCCCGGTGCCACAGCTGGGGATGCTGAGGGAAGTGGACAGTGATGGGCAGATTGACATGCTCTCCCTAAATATCATTCCCTAGAGATATGCTCAATTTCTTTTTAACTTCTTTTTCATGTTATTTACTGGTTCAACCGGAACAGAGTTGCTGCCACCAAGCCAATCTTCAACCTCTACAACACTCCTTTTGGCTGGCACTCGACCTTTCCCAACCTTCAGCATCCTCCCTACAACCCCACTGGGTCGTGCTTCTCCTCCCAGGGCACTGTCGAAGACTACATAGAACAATGTTCTTATCCAGCACAGCATCCGGTAGTTTCTTAAAACAGATTAAAGATTGGATGCCTATAGACACTTCTGGCTTCTCATCAGTAACACACATATATACCTACATACCACTATATCCATATACTGACTGATGAGAAACCTGAGTAACTAATTTGTGTTTCTGAAAGTCCACCAAGGCAGCCCACTTTTCACATAGTGCTAAATCCTCAAATCAGGAGATTAAAAGGTTTCTGAACGGAAACATCCTGAAAAGTTTGAGAGTTGGGGTTGTTTAGCCTGGAGTAAGGAAAGCTCTGTATGACCTTTGAATACTTAAAGGGGGCTTATAGGGAAGATGGAGAGAGACTTTTGACAAGGGTCTGCAAAGACAGGACAAGGGGAATGGCTTTAACCTGCCAGAGGGAAGATTGAGATGAGCTCTTAGGCAGAAGCTCTTCCCTTGTGAGAGTGCTGAGGCGCTGGCACAGGGTGCCCAGAGAAGCTGTGGCTGCCCCATCCCTGGCAGTGTTCAAGGCCAGGTTGGACACAGGGGCTTGGAGCAAGCTGCTCTAGTGGAAGGGGTCCCTGCCAGTGGCAGGGGGTTGGAACTGGATGAGCTTTAAGGTCCTTTCAACCAAAACCAATCTGGGATTCTATGAAACTGAGAGATTCACATCCTAGTTACTTTGGGTAATTTTAGGTAACATAAATACTATTCCAGAGTTGACATATATAAAACCAAAAGTGAAAAGGTCCAAGTCTAAAAATTCCTTTTTTCCTTAAAATTAAGTACCTGCTGATAGTATAGGTGCAATAAAAGTTAGGGATTCCTTAATGCTCTAAATTACTTTTACTAAGTAAACACCAAACAATAGCTTGTAATACATCCAAAACTAAAAGCCTTAAGAGACTCCTGCATATTTAAATACTTACTAGTTTATGCCAGTTTTCATTTGAAAGTTTAGTTGGACATTTTTCCTGGAAGTGTAGAAATAATATTATGAATATTATTACCTTTCTGGAATGAAGGGAACTTAGATAAAGAATAGCCTACTGTATCTTCAAAAAGTAGCATGTTTCTTAAGTTCCAAGTGCGTTATATTTGCTATTTACATGGGGATTTGCAACAGCAGCACTGCTCCCTGGGTGTTACTTACTTTGGATGGACTTCTCTAAGGCTGAGTTTACACAGCTGTGGAAGGAAAACCTAGCCACAATCAATTAAAAAGTGCAACACAAATCCTTTGGACAGCATTCTCAGGCTGTCCTGCTGTTGAGACAGCTACTATTCTCCCAGAATGAGTGCTCTAACTGTATTAAACTTAGTCCTAACCAAAATAAGCTTTTACTAATTTTCACCATTTAAGGAACATAAAGACCTGCCTTTGTCATTTAAAGTTTAAGCTGACTAAGCCCCACAGAAACAGAACCTTAAGGAACTAAAGCAATTAAATCCATTTACAGAGGTCAGAAGAGCCTCTGGGTTTTAGACATGATGGGCTTGTATGGTCTGTGCTTCTTATTCGTGTGAACTCTCAGATTATGGGTTGGTAGGTGGCATTAATAAGTCACCTTTGTTTTCCTCCTGATAGTGGAGTGAGCCTGAGCTGATCCTAACAGTCACCAGTGTGCTGGCATTACCTGCACTCCTGATTACTGAACAACTACAATAAGCACACAAATGAGACCCCAGACGCCCTGTCTTTGTGTGGAACATATTTATTACCAACCTGCTGGATCCTACACACAAAGAAGGCCTCGGGGAATGTAGTATGTCTACAAACCAATGCAAAAAGCACTGAGGAAAAAAAGAGACAAATAACCAGGCAGCTGAAAAGCCTAAAAGTCTAACAAACTCACCAGTACATCAATAATACAATAATGTCATAAGCCCACGGTGGACTCTGAACAATGTTTTTTCTGTTGTTCAGCTAATTAGTAAAAGAAGAGATTAAGGTCTTTAATGCTTTCTCTTTCTTCCCTCTTTTACCTGGAGGGTGTGCATGTATCTGGACATACATATTCCCGAAATGAGCAAAGTACATATGTTATGATGTTGAAAACGCAAGGTGGAGTGTGAGTTTGGCTTTATTTCCAGCAAGAGGGTCCTCTACATGATTTCAATGAACTGCGACTGCAAGGACTCAGATGTGCGTGTGTATATATGTGCGTGTGTGTGTGTGTGTGTGTGTGTGTGCGCTACAGGGTCGGAGGGGAAGGGGAAGGCTGCACAGAGGATATGAATTTTAAGCAGTTTCCTGAATGAATACAACACTGTATTTCTCCCTACTCTCCTTAGGATGACAATTCAGAGAGATAACCTTCTCCTTTGAAAAAACCCTGAAGGAAAAGTTTGTTTTTACCATAACAAATGCAACAGAAGAAAAGAAGAGGGAAGCTAGGAAAAGAGGGAGGGAGGGGAAGTTAGGGGAAACAAATTAAATGTCAAACTTTCTCTCCTTACTTGGAGATAACAGCATAAAAGGAAACCTTCTCAGAAGCTTAACATACATGCAGTTAAGCCATTGCCAGCTGCAGTAAACCTCTCTCTCACCTTTCTTTCTCTCTTTCAAGATATCTTTGAATGCCTTCTCCTTCATCATAAATCAGACGTGAGCAATTATCACTCCAGGCGAATGGCAGTGGCCTCAGTGGCCACTGCTATTCCACAGCTGTAGTCTGCACTTCCTCAGGTTACACTACCCTTGATGAAATTTCACATTTCTTTGCCAGCGAGTGCTAACCTCTCCATTTAGGACTCATTGTCTTTGCAGCAGAGACCTGTGAATCTCATTCCTCCTCTTGAAACTTGTTTTAGCAGCACTGTCCATCCATGGGGAGAGCTGAGCACCTTCAGCTCCCAATTAGGAGTCTTAGAGCATCCCGGAGCTCTGAGGGAGCACAACAGGGTTGTGCTGCCGCCTCAGATACTTACCCTGAAGGCATCTCTCAGAGCCTCTGAGGGAGATAGGGACGCAAACACCCTCCTGAGCACATAGTACTGATGCCACTGTCATAACTCTCAAAGAAACTGAGTTTTCACCATTCCCTTCTCCATCCACACACCCTCTGCTGACAGGTTTCTGACAGCAATAGGAGTCTCCTGGCTGCTTTCAGGTGCTCAAGGCCTGCAGTATTTTAGGCCCAACTGGCTGCCCTCCCCTCAACCACCACCACCCTCCTAGAGAAAGGGGATTTGGGGTCAGTTTTCCAGCCAGGAGTTAAAATTAAAGCTAAACAAAGCTCAAATCCCACTCCTGAAAAGGGAGAACACTCCAATCTCTGGCTCACATGAAGTTCCTGATCTCTACCCAGGTACCACAGTGGCTTATCCCTCACTAGCACCCAGCACAAACCTTTATGAGGTGAATCACCCACCACCACCTTATCCCTCTCCACACATCTTAAAACTCAAGCCCCAAACCGGACCCCAAAGGGCACATCCGCACCCCCGAAAGGCAGTCAAGACAAGCAAGAAAAGTAGATATAGAATCACTCACCATTGGCGGCGACACAGAGGTTTCCAGAGCCACTTTTAACTAGGAATGAATTAGGGACAAACTCTTCCTCAGACTCAGAGTCCGCGGCCGGCTGGGCCGCGCCGTTGCCCAGCAACCGCCCCGGGCCCTCATTGGCCGGCGGCGTCGGGGGAGGGGAAGGGGACTGCTCGGGGGGGGTGGAAGAGGCGGACGAACACCGCAGGGGAGGACCTGCGGGCCACAAGCACACACACAGACACGGGCACACAGAGAGAAGAGGGAGGGGGACAAAACAACAATAAAACAACAGAATGAATAAAAATAAACGAAAAAGAACGACAAAACACAGAGAGACAAAGTTGAGCCGGGGCACGGGGGGAAGGCTGCACCACATCACCACCCGCACCACCACCACCACCCCCCCCCGGCACCTGCCCCAATGGGGCAGCCCTGCCTGAGGGGCGGCAGACTGCACATAGCTGCTCGCGGGCGCTGAGGGGCTGGTGGTGTGAGCGTCCCTTAAAACTCATATCCAGCGGGGTTTGTTACGTGATTTTAGCGTTTTAGGGAGCCCCTGGTGCGAGATAAGCTTCTTGTCAGAGGGTGGGCACGCAAAAGGGGCGCACAAAGTGGGCATTTAATCAACGAGGCAATGCGTCGATGCCGGGCTGCGTTTTACCTGAGTAAAAGTTCTGCCCGACGTATTGTGAGGTAAATTATTTCAGATTTCGTGTTAAAAGGGTAAAGCCCTTTTGGGGATTGGATTTAACCATCCCCTTATCGAGTTGACTTGATGCTTCCCTCACACAGGAGGGAGCCAGGCATCGCTATGTGGTGGTGAAGCGTGTCAGCGCGCCGACACACTGATACAGGGCAGCAGCAAAGCTCGGTGCGGAGTCACTTCGTCGATTAAATAGTGAGAAATGCAGCAAACTGGGCTCTTTCGTGGGTGATATTTTACATAAAGCTGCGCCTGATCGAGGAAAAGCTTCTACTGACTGCGAGTTGGATCAGGTACGTGGAAGTTAAGTAGATCCAGTTGAAAAACCAGAATGTAAATAATTAATACTTATCAGGGTCTTATTCCCCTCAGGTTTTTGCACAAAACTGGGAAATTGAAACCCCAAAACTGGTGAAAACAGACGTGGAGGTCAGGTATGTGCAGTGCCTCAATAAAAACAGGGGGAATGTGAACGCAGACATAGTAGGTTAAATACAGGACAATGCATTTAAACATAAGCTTTTCCCCTTGTTACATTTGATCTGGAAGTCAGAATGATTAATCTCCCATATTTTCCCAAATGCTGAAATGTTATCATGCAAAACCGATCAAAATAAAAGACTTAAACAGCACAAGAAAACCAGCAAACTTAAAAAAAAAAAAAGATTTGTTTCTGAAAAAAAAAACAACAACACGTTTTGAACATAGCACACAACATAGCTGTACAGTATTTCTTACCAAACATAACATAAACACTTTAGAGAAGGACACAAACCCAAAACGATACAGTGGGTTTAACATTTAAATCCCCCGGAGCTGGTTCTGCTGAGTTTCTTTTCACCTTGGTCATTGTTTTTTTCTCATGGTAAGCACTTGGATGTCATTCCCTGCATGTGCAGGTTTTATAAATTGCCGATTATAATCAGAGCAGGAATTGTGGCATTGGAGATAGAGATAATAAAGGGTTGTACCTGTGCTCAGAGACACAGTGACTGTGGTCACCCAAAGGAGGACACAGCCTCGGTAGAGAGCCTTGGCTTTCCTGCATGAACTGCTGTGTGTTTTGTTACCATTAGCAGTGGAGTTGTCTGGGTCTATTCTTTCTGACAACCCTCCAAACAAGAGAAGTTTCTCCTTCAGGAATGTGGCTTTTAAGGCATCTGCAGCCCCCTTCACACTCTCTGACCCTTTTTACGGTGCCAAGGTTATAACCTTCCCATTGTATTTAACTACCGGTAGGAGCTGGAGAGAAGACAGCAAAAAAAGAGCACGTGCAAGGGGATGAGCACTGCTTTCCCTGTAACAGACCCTGACATGAAAATGGAGATTCAGCCCTAACCCCAGTGTGCTCTTGAAGGAGCAAAGTCTCTGCATCTTGCTCTTTGTTGCAATGGAGATTTGATCAGCACTGATGTAATGAAGTTTAAATCATGACTTCGATTTGCTATGCTTTTGTCACAAAACAAGATAGGATGCATTTCTAATACTGTGTAGTCAGAGCTTGAATTCTAGCATAATGATGAATGAAATGGAAAGGAAGTGTTAAACTTGTATCTTCCTATAGATACATAGAGTTTCCAATCGTAACCCAAGAATCTATGATTCTATGCTCAGGTGTACTTTGGAAGTGGAGGACACAGTTTTACAGCCATTGAGAGAGACAAACTTGATTTTAAAGTATCATTTCAAGCCTTTGACTCATTTACCCAAAGACCAGTAAAAATGCATGAAAAGGAGGTTAATGATGTGACTACTCCTGACAAAAAAAGGTGTCTGGTGGATTACAGTGGACCCCCAATGCTCTCCCTGTGTTTTGGTCAGGCAGCATGCTTGGCATATCTATACATAAAGCCTGAACATAAAGATCAGAAGCAGAATGAGCTGAATTTGGAATAATAATAATAAAAAAAGAAGTGAAATGTCAGTGCTTTTCTCAGCCATTTCCACATGGGTGCAGGTTGAGTTTTTTTTATGCGAGCTTCCTCATCAGAAGTATTGCAGTTTTGGAAAGGATAAAAGAAACCTCTTAAATGAAAACTTTGGATTTTAATCAGCTGCACCATTGCAGAGTGCACATGAGAGCTTCCCCTGGGACTTTATGGTTGTTACATGTACTTGCAGCAGCATGTGAGCTGACCTTTACAAGGGAAGGGTCCCTAGGAATTGTGTGTACTAACCACGTTCCCAGGGGCTGTGCTGCTGTGAAAAGCACTGGCATGTACCACTGTGCTCCCTGGAAAATTCCCTTTTGGGCATACAATTGGGGTGGATGCAACAGGAAATTTTGCAGAGGCAGCATATGGTTAAAATGCATGGGGAGAAAAGTGAGTCCAGAGGAGGCCACACAGATGCTGCGAGGGCTGGAGCAGCTCTACTCTGGAGCCAGGCTGAGAGAGCTGGGCTGCTTCAGCCTGGAGAAGAGAAAGCTCCTTAAGGGGAGACCTTAGAGCAGCTCCAGTGCCTAAAGGGGCTACAAGGAACCTGGAGAGGGGCTTTGGACAAGGGCCTGTAGGGACAGGCCAAGGGGAATGGCTTTAACCTGCCCGAGGGGAGACTGAGCTGAGCTCTTAGGCAGAAGCTCTTCCCTGTGAGGGTGCTGAGGCGCTGGCACAGGGTGCCCAGAGAAGCTGTGGCTGCCCCATCCCTGGCAGTGTTCAAGGGCAGGTTGGACACAGGGGCTTGGAGCAAGCTGCTCTAGTGGAAGAGGTCCCTGCCTGTGGCAGGAATGGTCTTTAAGGTCCCCTCCAATCCAAAGTGTTCTAGGATTCCTTTCTAACATGCAAGCAACTCTGTAAGATGGAGGTGTCTTATGTTGTGGATCCTTTCAGACACTTGCCTCTTTTTCTCTGCTTGGACAGAAACCCAGGAGTTAAATCTGACCTTTTCACAAAAAAATAAACTGAGAGACTGAAGATACAAGTTTGTATCCTTCTCAGACCAGTATCTCATTGTATTTGCTGCAGCAATAAATTCACTTGGAGTAATATCTCCAAGTGAAACGAGCACGATTCAGCCCGTAAACTTTCATTCCAGCTGCCAGAGCAAAATCTCTAATTGATTAGTACAAACTGAATTCACAGCACTAGTGGGTTGCTATGGAACCTGAGCAAGTAGGCCAAGTCACTTTGTGGTATGTGCTATTTCTCCTTCAAAAATACAAACCAGAAGGACCAGATAACGCATTCATTATGCACACTCTTGCAATTTGGAAGCTAACTCAAAGAAAAACAAAAAGGATTCCAAGCATGGGCCCCTTGGCATCAATTTGTAACAATCTTATATATCCGCTTGCAGTGAGCAGTCAAAATTGCGTTCTTTGGACTTGAGGCAGGAATAATATAAGTTGAATGTCTCTGTATGAGTGATACGTTACTTGCACATATTCAGAAGGAAAGAGAACATAAACTTGTATTTTATCTCTGCATCAGTATTTCAGATGAAGATCTAAAAAAATCAGGGGGAGATAAGTTAGAGTTTTTGTTAGATTTATGAAAATACTTGGGAAACACAAACTTGGGAAATAGCTTAACACAAAGAATCTGTTTCCCAGCTTAACAGAGGATCTCTGCAGAATGCAGGGAATGGCTTTAAATTTACAGAAGAGACAACCAGTGCAGACTCTAAATAGTTAGGGGAAAGTAAGACAAACAATAAACATGCCTTCACTTTCTGCTGCACATTTGGCTGTCATATTTCAGAACACTGTGTGTTTCTAGAATTACTCTGTCTCTTGCAGGATTTGGCCTTCAGAGATCAAGAGCTGATTTAAACCGGGTGTATTCATCTTGGTGTGAATAGAAGGGCTGCCAGGAATTCTGAACACTCGAGGATATACTTTTAAATGAAGGACAGTAAATTGTTTCATACATGATATTCAGTGGATTGCACTCATATGTTTACAATTTGTCCCAGAAGGGGTGAAAAAGAGCAGATACACAAATGCAGATTTTTCACAGGACTCGTAGCACAAGACAACAGGATTTAATAGTGTTCAATACAGAATCATCATAAAAGCACAGAATGGTTTGGGTTGGAGGAGACCTTAAAGCTAACCAGTTCCAACCCCCTGCTGTGGGCAGGGACGCCTTCCACTAGAGCAGCTTGCTCCAAGCCCCTGTGTCCAGCCTGGCCTTGAACACTGCCAGGAATGGGGCAACCACAGCTGGCACCCTCTGCCAGTGCCTCAGCACCCTCACAGGGAAGAACTTCCTAAAATCTAATACAAATCTCCCCTCAGTTTAAAGCCATTCCTCCTCGGCCTGTCCCTACAGGCCTTTGTCCAAAGCCCCTGTCAGCATTATACCCAGAATGGTATTATCTGCAATCAATAAATCATTAATATCAGCATTTCCCATAGTACCTCCTTTTGTTGAGCTTCAACCAAGAATCTTTAAGAGCTTGACAAGCATTGAATAGGTAAGATTTGAAATCCTGTTATCAGATCTATTGGGATCTGCTATCAGATAGGGCTGATCAAATTCAGTTGTCTGGGGTGCAGACTTACACTTCTGACAGATAAGGAAACTGAGTCACAGAGAAATAAGTCGAACGCCAATTCTCTTGTTTCCTGCACACTCTATCTCTGGCCACTGAAATAAGGCTGTTTGTCACACTCAGCTTTATTTTAAAATAGCAGAATTCTCAGCATGAAGGAAGGACAGGGGGAGGCAGAAGTGCTGCGATCGTGACTACCTCAGTGCAGCAACTGCAGCAGCTCTCATGTAAGACCATTAAGTCATACAACAGAAAATGCTTGGCCTTTGTACAACCTTAAAATCCAACAGCTGCTGGCACTGGTACTGGTGCACCAGTAATGGTAGGCACCAGCTCAAACCAAACACATTCCATACAGCTCTGGCCTTTAAAATGTTAGGCTCTGGAGTGCACTGTGGTTCAGAGGAAGGCTGTGGAAGTGATAGCAGCATGTGTTCTACAGTGTGTTGGCTGGGTGTATTATCCTGCCGAAGGAAAGTGAGTGTAAACAGATGCACTTCTCTTTCTGTGTTTTCCCCTCACTTTGCACAGTGGTTTTGAGTGATTTTTGACATCAAAAGTAATTTTATCGGTCTGTATTAAAACTGGAGCTAGTTTTGTGCTGGAGAAAGCCCCTGCTTACACAACAGGAACACTTACTTACCTCTGTCTGATCACAGAAATTAATAAATACATCTAAAGCTGAGGCAATTTTATCCTACAGTATGTCTGATGGATTAAACCCCAAAAGCATGAAGCAGTACTGAAGAGCTGAGATATTCCTGAGTCAAAGAGCTATATTTGAGAAGTGACAAGCAGGGAGGGCACCGAGACACTCCGGGCAGTGCCTCTGTGATGGACTATTGATGCATATGACCAGGTGGGAAGGGCAGTGCCCTGCCTGCATGGCGGTGTGCAGTTCCCCATGGCATATAAAAGGCAGTGATTTGCTCCACTATTATTTCAGGGCATCTGAGATCCTCCTGGGTTGAGGAGGGGAGTGAGAATGTCTGGTATTGTGCTTTGCAAGGTGAAGGAGAACATATTATTTGGACAAATCCAGACTATTGCAGAATCAGTTGGGATGGAAGGGGTCTTAAAGCTCATCCAGTTGCAACTCCCTGCCATGGGCAGGGACACCTTCTACTAGAGCACCTTGCTCCAAGCCCCTGTGTCCAAACTGGCCTTGAACACTGCCAGGGATGGGGCAGCCACAGCTTCTCTGGGCACCCTGTACCACTGCCTCAGCACCCTCGCAGGGAAGAGCTTCTGCCTAAGAGCTCATCTCAATCTCCCCTCTGGCAGGTTCAAGCCATTCCCCTTGGCCTGTCCCTACAGGCCCCTGTCCAAAGCCCCTCTCCAGGTTCCTTGTAGCCCCTTTAGGCACTGGAGCTGCTCTAAGGTCTCCCCTTCAGGAGCCTTCTCTTCTCCAGGCTGAAGCAGCCCAACTCTCTCAGCCTGGCTCCAGAGTAGAGCTGCTTCAGCCCTCGCAGCATCTCTGTGGCCTCTTCTGGACTTGCTCCAACAGCTCCGCGTCCCTCTTGTGCTGTTGCCCCAGAGCTGGATCAGGACTGCAGGAAGGGTGTCCCCAGAGCACAGCAGAGGGGGAGAATCCCCTTCCTCTACCCTGCTGCTCACGCTCTGGGGATGCAGCACAGCACACAGGGGGATTCTGGGCTCAAGTGCACACTGAAGCCAGATTATGGGGAGGTTCTCATTGAAGACTAATTGTGCTTGGAATTTCCCAGCCTAGGTGTAGTAGCTTGCACTTGGCCTTTTTGAACTTCATGAACTTCATTATCACACGGTAAAAGCCTGGTTTATCATCCAGGAGCTTCACTCCATCAGAGATGGAGAAAGGGGAATTTTCCTCAGGGATAAACAGTATTCATGCCTTTCCCGTGGATAGCATAAAACACCTCTGGAAAAAGAGCAACGTCCTCGGGCTGTCTGGCAGAACGAGTTGGTGAATCATGGGAATAAGGAATTGCGCAGATTTATTGCTGTTCTTTAACAATAGGTGGTCACAACTTTCCTAGTTCAACAGGGAATATATATCTTGTGTTTCAAATTGATTAAAAAAGCAGTCTTGGAAAACTACTTTTAGTTATTTATATTTCCTGACTTTCCACCTGCACTTATGTTGATTTTATTTAATTTCATTTTGTGTATTTGATTTATAGCTATGGAGCCAGAGGGGAAAATAAATGAAATAAAGGGGGCAAATGAATATCATCTTAACAAGAAAAACCTGGGCTGCTGCCATGTCACCAAAATGAAGAAATTAATAGTTGGGTCTCAAATATGAGAAATAATCACATGCCCTGGATGAAGAGTGGCATACTGGGGGAAAAAGGGCCATGAAAGGTTAAGAAGGAATGAATAAATTCACTTGGAGTATGAAGAACATATGTTAGGTGGACTTCACCTGCCTTGTGGGTGGTTTGTGTTCCTTCCCCTAACTGTGGGTTTTCCCTCCTCTGTGCTGTGAAGATGGGCAGTGATTGCCTCTATCTGTTTGCCAGGATGTGGAAGTCACGAAGTGACTGTTGGCAGGAACTCGGACACATGCCTGTTCATAAGGGAGAGACCATGGGCAGACCTTCTGTTAGTGGAAAACATCTAGAATGGCATTGGTTCTGTGAGGGAAGATGTGATGCTGGGATATATAAAAGCACCACAACTGTATGCCTGTATGATTGTATTTGGACTTGATGATCTTAAAGATCTTTTTCAACCTATTTGATTCTATGATTCTATGCCTATTTTCTGCCTCTGTCCCAGCACAGATAATGGACCATTTGGGCCCTACACTGTTATTCCCCAAACGAAGTAGAAGTTAGGAAGGGACAAAAATAACCCAGACCACAGCTCTCCTTTCCCCCACCTCCCAAGGTTACTAACCTGACCCAAAACAGCAGAAAACAATTATCCATTGAGCAAGATGGAGAGGAGCAGGGAGGAAATTGTTCCCTTCTGAAAGGCAGCTCCTCAGGGGCTCGGGGTGCTCTCAGGCAGCACAGCCACACTTGGAATGTTTTTTTTGCCAACACAAGAAAATAATACAGCAGATTTCAGAAAATTACATGGGCAATTGCCTGAGCCAGATACTCGCTTTGCTCATTTGTAGGCACAACAGTAGAAACAGATTGTGGAAGTTAGTTACACCAGTGTCTGCAACATCAGTCTCCAGCGCTGAGATCGTGCTGTTATTCAAAAGCACAAACAGGTAATGTAATTTCCAACTACAGGCGAGATTGCTTCTATCTCTTTCAAAATCAAAGGAGGAAGGATCAAGCAAGAAAGACTCTTCTGAGAGAGACAGTATAAACAATCCTAATCACCTCAGAATATTTATATAGTTCCTTGTGAAATATTTATGCAAATAATTCACCATCATCTCAAGTTTTGAAGGGAAATACAAGCCCCTAATTATGGATCAGCATTACAACAGCCTTTTGCAGCTTTACTCAACCCCAACTTGTAAAAGAATAATGTAATCAGTAGGCAGGCTGATGAGCTGCCCGTGAAGTGGCCTCTCTCAATCTGACATTAATGCTCTATCTGATCCGAGACACCTAATAGAAAGTATGAAGTTCTCTGCAGAAGATTACATGCAAATCTCCTAAAAGGTCCATTTTCCTGTATTTGAACACCAAACCATAGGCTTTGCAGAAATTGCTTTCTCTAAGCTTAACGCTAACATGAAGGTTTACACTAGCCTTGCAAAACTTTGCCAGACGGGCTTGGTGAAGGCAAAGCACCTTTTCATATTCCTGTTAGCCCAGCAGGAAAGAGTTGTTAAACATGGGCCACTGCAAGACTTTTTCACCTGCCACAGCAAATAAAATTTACAGCTAAATCTTGCAGGGTGGTTGCCACTAATTCCCTAAAATTCACTGCTGAAATATGCCAGAGGAGGCAAAACTATGGAATGCTGGAAAACTACATGACATTAGAGCTCACCTACCAGGAGCAAAGCTAATTTGTCCTATAGCCACAGCACCAACAAAATCCGTAAGAGCAGCAAGTGATCAGTGATACTCTTTGTGACCTTCCTGGCCGGTGGGGATGGGTTTTACATTTATCATAGGTAAAACAATACGTGGTGAGGCACACCGTGCTGTTAAGAAGCAAAATGTGTTATTTCCCCCTGTTAACTCAACAGTCACAAACGAGCATCTCTTGAAAGGAATGAAAATTGCGGTTGTTAAATCCAGGACTTGTTTGGAGAAATGAGAGTTTAATGTGACATTGTGCAGCATAGTTACTATATGGTCTTCCTGCAATTGAGAAGTACAGCTTTACCTTCCAGAAGCCACTTACTCTGTCTCTAATTTCTGTTAGAATGTCTTATTTCTACTTTTTATAAGAACAGGTCATGATAAGACAAGGGGGAATGGCTTTAACCTGCCAAGAGGGAGTTTGAGCTGAGCTCTTAGGCAGAAGCTCTTCCCTGTGAGGGTGCTGAGGCGCTGGCACAGGGTGCCCAGAGAAGCTGTGGCTGCCCCATCCCTGGCAGTGTTCAAGGGCAGGTTGGACACAGGGGCTTGGAGCAAGCTGCTCTAGTGGAAGGGGTCCCTGCCCATGGCAGGGAGTTGGAACTGGATGAGCTTTAAGGTCCCTTCCAACCAAAACCAGTCTGGGATTCCATGATTCATTGATTATACAGAGAACCTTGAGTGTTCCTAACTGAGGTGGGTAAGTGCAAGTTACATGAAGCTGGGCTTAATGCCTCAAACCTGCCCGGAGATAAAGCAGCCTCACAGTGACATTTTTGGCAGTGATATTTTGGGTTTGTTTTGTAACAGCTAAGGCCTCATCATACATGCAGACTTAACACTTCCCTAGCAAGCTCATAGACAAAGTTACTGTGTAGTAGCAGCGGAAGCAGAGACTAAACACATAGGAAGCTGGAGATAAAAGTTGCAGAGAAGGAGAACTCTGAAGCAATGATATTTTATGTTTCTCTTGGGAAGAAATGTAGTCTGCGTAAGTAAGTGCAGCCCAAGGAAAACACAGGACTGCAGACCCCTGGAGCCTGACAGAGTGGTATCAAAGCTATACTGCAGTGAGAATCCAGCCCCATCTATCCATAAGCTCCCTGGAGAGGAAATTTGGGGTGAGAGGAATGTTGCTTGAATAAAGAGATTGTATCTGTTCCTGTTTTTGTTCCTAAAATTACTGTTGGCTTTAGATTTCTGCGCTGCATAAAGGTAATGAACTTACTTGTTTAGCCTACACTTACTGGGACAATTTCCTCCTGATCCCATAATTTATCCCCATTAGGGTTGGATGCTTGCATCCCTAAAATTGTATGGAAGTCATTTTCCAGTGACTGTTATTTCTTACATTCTAGCCAATCTTCCTTAATTTTGGGAAGACCTTTTTTCCCCAGTGCATGATTTCAAACAAAGCCAACAGCCTCCCTTCAACATCTAAGAGTCATGGTTCAGAAGATCGTTTTCTTTCTTCAACTGAGAAAAGAGATCAAGGCAACCTAGTGCTAAAAGTCTTCTTAGATGGACTTCTAAAGGGATCTGATTAAGGAGAAAGGTTATTTTCCATAGCAGTTCTTCTTGTGAGCCAGCCCTGGGGGTCTGGACTTGAAAACAGTAGGAAGTGTGAAGCTCCTACAGAAAAGGAGGCAGGAGGGCTGCACTAGGATGGTAGAATTCTTTCTGCACTCAGGCTGATGGTAGGTGTCATTCCTTTCCCTTTGAGTCTGAGAGAAATCTTCTATGTAACCTGGGAAAGAACTCTTCAAGCCTTTCTAGTCTGATGCTTGTGCATCGTATTCTCTTTTGGCATCCACCTCATGCAGGATGCATCTGAATCTTGTACATACCCTGTTCATTAAAAAATCAGGCTTATTCTGTATCCTCCAGTTATTTTGATGTTTTTTGTCTACTTATTCTGCAGGCATTTTGAGACATGGGCTGCTTCTCCTTACGTGCATGTGGAGCTAGCAAAGCAGCAGGACCTTATCCTGTGTTTGGCCATTAGGTGTTCCTGCAATGCAAGCTGTCAGAGTAGGGAAGTTGTGCTTGAGAAGCTGTTGTTATTTTAGAGAAGACCTGTTCACAATGTTCTATAGACTGAGGGAGACTGATAGCGTCCCCTTGCTGAGATCTGAGTCCAGGACAAGGTCTACATTTCCAGGGAGGTCCAAGTGAAGACCTCATGCTTACTGAAAAAGCTATGTAGATGTGTAGCCCTCATTGTTCTAATACAAATTTTCCCCTTTTAAACCTGAACTTCAGCTTTGTTCCTGGAAAACCTCCTGAATTCTTGCTGAGGCAAAGAGCCAAAATACAGGTATGTTTCTGCAGATAATGCTCTTCTCTCCAGTCAAAGACTGCCAGTCAGTGGTACTGACCAGGAGGGTAATGCAGCGATATCATAGTATTATGCCACAAACAAATTTGTTTTGGACCAAAAGCAGGGATTTGCTTTACATTTGTTTCAAGCTTAGAACAACATTATCAAAGAAAGAGCAACAGTGACCAACAAGAGAAAAGGAAATCGGTAGAGACAGAGGTTCAGGTTATTGAATGGCATTTCCAGTCCCCAAAGGGGAGCAATTTTTTGCCTCCAAAATAATAGAATTATATAATCATAGAATGGTTTGGGTTGAAAGGGACTTTAAAGCTCATCCAGTTCCAACCCCCTGCCACAGAACATGTCTTGCAGAAGACAACAAGCCAAGTTGGAAGTGCAATAACAAGACTTCAGGAAGTTTCAGAGCCATCACTGATGTTACTGTTTTGTTCTCAACAGCTTTGATTAACAGCTTTAAAGCTGCAATTTAAATACCTTAATCATTGCTTTACTGACTTCTGCCCTTGAAGAGAAAAATCTTTACCTTGATTTTTGTTCACTTCCCCACTCAGTGAAAAATGTGAGATTGTTCACATCACTATGCAAAGAAAGGTCCCAAATAAGAGAGATTCTCTGGCTAGAGGGGAGAAAATGATAATTCAAAACACAAAAAAGGCTCATGAGGATTATTTGTAAGAAAATAAATATTTCAGTAGTTTGGAGAATGATTCACAGCTGTGTGGGCTATAAAGAGTAGAGCTAAATACAGAGTAAAGTATACCCATGGCCTCATTCACTTAGCAGTGTCTCCGTCTCCCATTGCTCCAGCTTCTTGTTTTTCTGAGGGATAAAGGAATTGGTTATCTTCAAGAAAAAGCTGTTTCAGAAAGATGAGGGCAGTATTAGAAAATAATTCAGTGCTGAATTACGGCACCTGAACCCATGTGAAAATGTGCTACAGGCTTTGCCAGAACAGAACAAACTACTAGTCCACCTGATTTACCATCATTTCCCTGTTACTGGCTAATCCCAGCCATGCAGGGCTCCTATAAAGCAGTTCATTACACCCTATGGGATAGGAGGAAACCTTTTTATAATACTAATCATAATATGATAGTAATCAAAGTGAAGCAAGAAAGCAAGATGCCTAATAGTCCTTATTCTTTCCTGACTGCTGAAACCGTGCGTGCTATGCTTATTCCAGCTCATAAGACGTTATTTTTCTCTAAGGTGTTTGCCCCCAAACTAACATGCAACAGGTAGTTTCACATACTAACCATGAAATACTCCCCACTTTCCTTTTTTACATGTAATGGCTTTGATTGTGATAAAATGCTAATGGCAGCAAAAAATCCTTATAGTTTGAGTGACAAACAGCCCTTGTTGGTTATTTTGTCCATCTCTGAGGTAGTTGTTCACTATAGCTTTGAATTCCCTTGTATAACAAGTTTAATTCTGAATTCCCAATCAATTAGGCTGGGCAGTTAGTCCCCAGAGTTTCAGGGGGCTAATAAAACCCACTCTCATACGTGCTTATGTTATAGTGCACTGAACACTTTTCAGCATGCTGGTGAACAAAGTAACCCAGTGGTCTCTTATCTCTAATTTTGATGATTACCTGCCTGCCCTCTTTGACAGCCTTGACCTTCTGTACACTGCTCAACAGTTTATACAGCTATTTGCTTCTTACACTTCTTCCTGAAGAAAGATCCTGCTCTGCAAGCCCCATGCAGACCCAGCTGCCTTTCATCCAGTCCACGTGTGTCAGCCAAATGACTGGAGTGAAGCTCACGCTCAACAGCCCTTGAGGCACTTCTGCAGACGTTAACAGTGGTTCCACCATGCTTTAATGGGTAGCTCTGGCTTCAGTTTTGCCTTCATTTTTACCTTTTGGCTACCTCTACACAC